GGTTAACTTGCCTGGTTTACATTTTTGAAAATGATTACCAGTTGAAAAAAATAGTTAGAAATTTAGAAAAGTAATCAAAAAGTAATGAAATGTAATCAGTTACATCACTTTAATAAAATAATAGCATTTTAAATAATAGCTTGTCATCTGTAACCTATAACATTTACAAAGTAACCTTCCCAACACTGCAGCCCTGTTTGCAAGGATGTACTGGTTGTTAGGCTGTTGCCAGGGTGTTCCAAGTGGTTGCTAGGCAGTTTCAGGGGTATTTTGGGTGGTTGCTACAGTGTGGATTCAGTTATTGGGTCATTCCATGAAATTGGTGCCTTTTGCTTCCCTAAGAAGTAATCAAACATGGATTTAATTTAACAACGAATAAATTTGCAACTTAAAAACATAACGATACTATGTATTCTTTCATAAATATTACATAAAAAAGTAAATTAAATATTATTAGGGTAAGGTTTTTGGCCTGTCTCTCACTATGATTTTTCTTTTTCAGCAGGACTTTAATTTGCAAAATAAAGGCAAAATTATATAAAAATTGCATTTGCATATTGTTTTAAATATAGTCTCATTGTTAAGCAATGTTTTGGCACAAGTATGCATTTTTTCTATAAAATTTTAATCTTTTTATTGGTGTCCCCTGATTTCATGTCAGCCCTGTTACCCTCATCAAAAAACCCTTGTAAAATAATTTACGTTCAACATTATTGGTTGACATCACTTCTAAGAGGTTACATCATCTCTCAACCAGGATTCCTACACTTAAAACACAAGCATGTTTCTCTCTCACTTCTATAATGTGCTGTTTTTGATGATTTATGAGGCTTGACTGAGGGGTGGGGGTCAATACTGTTACCATTTTTAAAATGTAAATTTAAACAATTATTTATTACATTTAATATAATCAGTATCTACAAGTAAAATCCTTTCAAAGTGTACAACGTGCTTTTGTGAAATTCACTATTAGCTAGAACTTAGTAAATTAGTTTTAAATTGTAAACCCTGTTACTGTCATCCCTGTTACTTTTCAGGGTAACAGGTTTTGACGTGGTTAACAGGGATGACATATATTAGGGTGTAATTTTGAGCTAATGCCTATATCATTCAGTGGCATATGAGCATGAGTTACATTTACATTTAGTCATTTAGCAGACACTTTTATCTAAAGCGACTTACAAATGAGGACAATAAAAGCAGTCAAAACTAAAAAAAGAGCAACAATATATAAGTGCAAATGACAAGTCCCGGTTAGCCTAACGCAGTACACGTAGTTACATTTTAGTTAGTTTTATTGATATTGTTTCTATTACTGTTATAATTAATGACCAGGATAGGATGATCAGTCTCAATAAATCTAATTGTCAATAATGCATCCATGTAAATTCAATTACAAACAAGAGC